ATCATTCTACACATCCAACAAAATATTTAGAAAACCTACGAGTGTTTATTGTAATAATTTATCAAAATCTACGCATCCTTATATTTTGAGCAATGAACTTCTTGCGAACTTCAAGCAGAATACCGAGGTAAGTGACTATTTCCATATTCTCGTAATATAATATTAAGTAAAATAGGTAGACGCAAATCAACAATTATTACGTAAGATAGGTAGCTGCCGGTCTATAAAAACATAATACGTCTTTTTATTTATATAAATATATTCGTGCGTCAACCGTGGAATATTACATGAGACGGACAATTCCTATTTAACCTGTGTAATTTACGACAAATGGGTCAGACCTCTTTGTAGCCTAAGTTAATGATCGGATGATTACAGCCTGAGTAATATGCACAACTATTGGTGCTGAAGTTTTTACTCGAAATGCTATTTTTTTTTTTTCAAGAATTCGCATTGTCACTACTTGTTTGTGACGATGGCCGTTTTTGGTGAACAAAAAAAAATGTAGACTCAATAAAAGATCCATAAAACAACAAAGATAATTTTTTCCTACAATTTGTCACTCCATAATAAAAATCGTAAGTTTACTATATCCAAAATGTTAATAAAAAAATTAGTAATGTCCCAAAAAAAAAACCTCCATCTATTACGTGAAAAACCCTCACTAAGAAAAAACATCTCAAGTTAGAAAAATTATGTTATCAAAAAGAGGCTCAGTAATTTGTTCAATTCATTAGTATAGAAATTGTTTATAATTGTTTACATATGATGAAGTGCGATAATTTAATTCAATTAATTTAACTTAACTAGGCGTTTACTCTTAGTATGTACTTAAATAGTAAAATGGTAATATTAATACAAAATAAAATAAAGATTTAAATATTCATGTCAGCATTGTGACTTTATTTGTAGTCATAAATATTACTAGCCACCAAGCTAAATTAAATATTAATATGCATTATAAATTCTGAGTGGAGCGAAGAAGTTTATAAATTCACAAAGATGTTAATTTTTTTTTTTTTTTTATCTGTGCGCAACTTTTCTACCAGAAGACTTGCTCAAATTTGTAAGTGTAGCATTTTTAATGTAAAAAATCAGTGTCGAAAGGTACTTTAAGAAAATCATTTTTCGATTTTCTCAGAAGTTGTCTCATCAAATTTAAAAACCGGAAAAAAACGGAAAAATATAAGAAAAGTTAATATCAGTTATTATAAGTGTATTACGGCCATCTTTTTTCCTGTGTACAACTTTTCTACCAGCAACTTTATTCCAATTCATAATGATAACAATTTTTCTGAAAGGAAATTTGGCTGGGAAAGTATTTTAGGGAGATTATTTTTCGATTTTCCCAAGAGTTTTCCAGCAAATTTGAAAAAACATAGGAAAATCGGTACAACATTAAAAAAAATATTATTAAAGAAAATATTTAAAGCCTATTTAATTATTTCACAATACTATAAAATGCCTTATATATTGTTGAAAAAGCATCACTATCAACTGAACTCCGCTCAGAATCGTTTTTTCGTAAGCAATGGTTTATTGTTGCTTATGGGTATACATTTTATTATCTATAACTGTGGCTGCACCCAATATTGCTACAATAGGAAAATGATAACTAACCTTTTATGTTGAATTCTTAATTTGGTTTGTGAATTAGATAGCCGTTCTTTGATTTTCCGTGTATTTTTTTAATAATTAAGCAAATAAATACCGATAATACCTATCATAAAAATATTATCATAAGCACTCCTGAATAGTCTATATTAAACTATCGGTATAATAATCAAAGGAATTTTCAATGGACTATAGAATACTTCATTCAAATATATTATTTCACATGACCGAATACCTACTTTAATTATTCGGAAATACAAGGCATGAACATAATTGAAAAAAAAAAAAAACTTTTCGAATATATAGTTCTGTAGTAATATTATTCGTTTGTGACCGTCACTATTTTACACTAAAAAACATAATAGTAAAATAATAATATCGAGTTTTACCGGACAGCCGATAATTTATGAAATATTGTGTACACATAAAAAAATAAATACGTTGATAACATCTGGTCCAGAGTATCATCGTACAGGATCCAAGACAATATTATTGATCCCTATTGGATATAATATATATTGTTGACAAAGCAACACTAACAACTGAACTCCGCTCAGAATCATTTTTTCGTTAGCAATGGTTTATCGTTGCTTACAGATGTATATTAAATTTCCCCTTTACTACCTTTTCAACTTCTCAACTACAACAGTGGCCCACCCACGTGCGAAGTTGCCCGGCTTTTTTTTCTTTAATCACAAGTGTTCGTAATGTGTGTCACCTGTCGTGTGCACACACACATGCATATAACCCCCACTACGTCTACTGCTACTGCTACTGCTGCGTCAACGTCATTCATTGCAGTCGTCGGCAACGTGCATTACTACATACTGTGTAAACTATGCACGCACATATGTTTATGACATTCATTACTCCAACGTACCTACCACTTGTTAGCCTACAGCAAGTGGTTATTCACTGGTAAAAATTTAAACAATACTTAGTAGCCGAATTATCCGTCACTGCCGGCGTGACCTTAGTTGAATCCGACTTCCAACAATTTGTATTGCGGGAATCGAAATCTATAAGCCTAGATAATTTCGACTCCCTCAAAGATATTTTCAGAGGAGTCAAAACATCCTTCAAAAATTGTCTACTATTTCGAAAACCTCAGTTCTACCAATAATTTTTTGGAGTTAATATTTTTTTTTCTCTCCGGAACTTTGGTTTATGGTTGTTGATTCTACCTACACCATATATTATCGATTTTTTATGACATTTACGTACCGATAAAAAATCGATACGAACAGACATGCATCAAAGATTTATTCCGGGATACGTATAATCTTGATGATATTTTACATTTATAATTGTATTTTAATATTTATAGATTACTTACGTAAAATAATACATAATATAATATTCAAACGATTTCTTTGCGCATTCGAATTGATTCAATAATCTGAATATAAAAATCTAAATTTGAATAATTTCAACAAATATTTTTTTTTTTTTTTCGTACAGTATAGTAGGCAGTAATCAGTAATTTGTTTGATATGACTATTATTACCATAAACCTAACCAAACTATAACAAATAATTAAATTGTTGAGAAATAATAATTTTTAATAAAGTGTCATTGACATTTGTTCCTGTCCCCCATGAGAAAATAGAATACAGAAACGTTGTTAATAACTAGTAACCGAAATTATATTCACTGAAAATGTGATAAATATAATCAAAATATAATTAAAAAGGTCAAAATATGTTCCAATTTGCACAAATAATTACAAAATAGTTCCGATATACAACGTAAATTTATAATACGAAAAAAAATAAATAAAAAATAGGCAGTAATAAGTAATAAGCAATAAGTAATTATTCATTAAGTAGAGAAAATAATAATTGTACATACTAAATACAATAATTTATAATTATTTTTTTTTCATATTTTGTAATTTTCATTATTTATATTCATTTTTTCAACATAGAAATATTTAATTTTATAAAAAATCTTAAACTATTAAAACAGTGACAAGTAAAACTGAATTGTATATAGGTGCCCTATTTAAAATATATATATATATATATATATGTTAAATTAAAATTTCATAACAATGAATTACAATTAATGCTGTCATTTATAAAATAAAGTATTAAATAACTATCTATATAATAAAAAAATAATTTTTACATTACCTATATATACTAATGAAAACGAAGGGAGGGTGTAGATAACAACACTAACAGTAATGTTCATTTACCACGCACACAACGACAACATGTAACAGAGAAATCTATGCGTGCAATTTGCATCTTTCCAAGAACCGGATATAGGGACCAAATGCGCGAAGTTATCATTCAAATACGCAACAACATGTTACTGTCAGAAAGCGTAGAGTAAGCACATTGAGTAGAAGGTACGATACGCTCCATTCGGCCTTTCTATTCCAAATATAAACCATGTCCTAGTTCCAAGTTATAGGTTATTTTTAGATATTTATTGTTATCAGACTGTGTACTATTTGACAAGTGAAACTAGTTGATATTATTATTTTTTTTAAATACTTAAGACTTTAAGTCTAGAGTAAAACTTTTATTTAATTTCTTCTGTTAAGTTTTTTTTAATTTTTGTTAAACAAAGTAAAACGTTAATTCTTATGTACCTATTTTAAAATCTTGTCAAGTACTAATAAAAAAACTTAAGAAGTTTGAAATAAAGGAATTGCATTATAATATTTTAGAAAGTAATTAATTAAATAAATATTAGTAGTAAGTTTTTTTAAAACTATTATGTACTCATAATAAATCATACACTATAATCTAATTCAATTGATAAATTAGTTCTTATTGTTACGTTTTAAAATTAATTGAGCAGAAATACTTTCTGTGGAAAAGTAATTTATGTTACTATTGTTATAATATGCGTAAATACGCTTTTAAATGTATAAATAATTGATTAATTTGTTTTGATTATTTAAATGTTCACATTCAGGGTCGATACTTTCATGGCTGGTACAAAATAATAAAATACATATTGAATTGTACACATGTAAATCGAATCAATTTTTGGTAGAAAAGTTGTCCACAGATAAAAAAATTAACGTTTTTATAAAACCATGAGTTTCTTCGCTGCTAAAACAAATCGATTTATCTAAAACAAAATTTAAAATAATGTATTTCGTATATTTTCCTCTTTTCCTCCGTTTTCTCCCGGTTTTTTTTCAATTATTACGAAAACCACTTGGAAAATCAAAAAGTGAACTTTTTAAAGTACCACCCAGATAAAATTTAATTTCAGTAAAGGTAGACTTGATAAATTAGACACATTAGATTTGATAAATATGAATCAAGATTCCTGGTAAAGAATTTATTTACAGGTAAAAAAATAAACATAATTGCAAAACCAATGCATGTCATATAAAAAAATATCACATATTATCATATATAATTTTATATTAAAACGGCAATAATCAAATAGATAACTATTTCATTTAATAACTGTGTGAATACTATTATTGATTACACACATTTTTTTACATAAGTATATAAAAATACACGGTCAATACATTATTATTATGAATTGTTGCTGTTAGTTTCGGTGAACGATGCCGATGATGGATCTTTACCGACTTTCATGTGTGTACGTAACGACGAGGATTCCATGTTCGCCGTTTCAATTTCAGCAGATTCTCCAATATCGACGTGATGGTTGTCAATCTTGTACTTATTATTGGTAATCAATACGTCAGACACAAATTTCCCGTTGTCTATATTATAATGAAAAATAAATAAACACGGAATTAGATATTCAGAAAAATAATTTTACTTCATTGATTATGGGTAGGTCGCACCTAAGTTAATATTAATAATAATATAATATTGAATACATTAATATAAATACAATAAATATTCATCGATTCAAGTATGATAGTATTGAAGATTCCGCGAGGTGTTAAGGAAAGTCTATTTTTTTATTTATTTTTTTTTTTTTTTCATAACACATTATCGGTATCGGCGTAACTATCTAATGATATTGTAAAAATATGAGAGGGGCTAAAACAACAATAATCAAATGAACCTAATCTGTAGGTTCAATATACACCGAAAAGAAAATATGGGGATGGAAAACTTTAAAATGTAAATTTCTTGAAATTTAAAATTCGTTCTTCTTTTCTTAAACTTTTTAATTATTGATATGTTAATTTACAAATTAAAATCAACTAAAATTAAATTATTTTAAAATTATCCAAAAATACAATAATAACCCAAAACATATTAACTGATAGGTTAACATAATAACTGATTAACCTGAGGCGTAGATAGAAATATTCTTTTGAGTAAGCCAGATAAAATAATATAAATGTTTATGATTACCTACTATATTAGACTACTAATACAAATTTTTAGATTTTGAATGCAGTAAAAAATGTATTGGTTTTATTAAGATGTTTATTATTTTTTTATCCTGTGAACGAAAATTTAACTATAAATCTTGCTCAGATATATAAGCGCGGCGTTATTTCTGAAAGGTAATATTGTCCAGATGGTACTTTTGGGAGGTCGTTTTTTGATTTTCCAAACGGTTTTCAGAATATCTGAGAAAAACCAGAATATGGACCTGACTGACCGAAACCATGCCGTAGCTATTATTATTTATTTATACACGATGTTACAATATTATGTTTCAAATTAATATATAAATTATACAATAACGTACTACGCAGAATTCGCAAAAAACTAAGAAACATACTTCAGGGAGGATCACAACCCCCTCTTGTTCGTAAAAGTCAAGTTGCTAGTTGTTAAAATTTACAAATTACCGTATAATATCCAGGAGGACGTAACCCCAAAAAAATGACCCCCCAAAATAATAATTATGCTGCTAATGACTTTTTTTTTTTTTATGGCTTTCCAAAATTCTCGGCTACACCACTGTTAAGGGGGATGATAAATACATAAATATATAAATTGGAAAGTTCCACTGGAAAATTTACCAATGTTTTATCGGTTTTATATCATCGACTAGTCGTAGTCATGTTGTATAATTATACCTAAATACCGGCGATTGGCGGCGACGGTATCAGCGAAAACGTATTCACCGCCGACCCGGTGCAACGCCATCACCATTCCCTCAGTGTTGGGAGTTTGCGTGGTATTGCCGGCGTACGGATTCCAAATGAACACGTAATAGGCCGACAACGATGCCGCCACCGTAGACACGGACACCAGATAAGCGACGACCGTCAGCATTCTTATCATTTTTATCTGTCGAATAAACAAAATAACAATAATTATCACGAGCTTCTGTTATAGAATTATATTACTTAATATACTTTTATTAGTCTACTGTTTGCCCGTTTAATGATGGCTACGTATATTACAACATACTAGTATACGATTAATAACAGTGTTTCCCAAACTTTTTTTTATCCAACGCCCCTTTTAGATTTTCAAAAACTCACATACCCCCCTCCCAAATAAATTTAAAAAAATTACATTTTAATTTTATAAACAGCCATTTAACTAAAGTGAAAAATAAATATTTTCTTCATATGTTGTGCTCGAGTATTTGTTATAATTATAATGCTCAAAACCGTTTTTTTTCATTAGCAATAGTTTATCGTTGTTTACAGGTATACATTAAATTACCTACAACAGTGGCTGCACCCTTCTCCATTATTCTAGGACGTTTTTTTTTTTTTTTTGTTTATTAATGAAAGTCACTGTAGAATTATCCTGCTTAGCACCCTCTTATGTAAAAAAACACTCTTAAAATTAAAAAAGCTCACAAGGGAATAGTACCACCCACGTTGGTAACCACTGGTTTATAATAATATATGATGATGACCGACGACCGGACGCGATTGTTTTCGTGTGTTAATTATTTTATTTTATTTTTTTTCATTGTGAAAAAATAATTTAACATTCCAATGTTACAATACGGATGATATCTAAAGTACGCTATCGGAATATTAATTTTTATTTTCGACCCAATTACGTATAACCACGAGTCCCAAAACGCGCTTACCTAGTTATAAATATTGGAGAGTAATGGAATATCAATTGTGTTGTGGGGCAACGTTTACGGCTTTTGAATAGTGATCCACTACTCTCCTCCAACCCACAAAACGACCAATTTAAAAAGCGGATTACCTCGTAAATGGTTTTATGGGGAATAAAAATATCAACACAAAAATGTATTTTCACTAAAATTTCATCTTTTCATGGAATTTTTAATCTAGGCGAATATTTAAAAATCAAAAGTGAGTGGCGGTTTCAACTTTAAAAAATAACGAAGATGTAAATTTCAGACCGGCTTGATTCTTAAATCTTCCAATAAAAATTCCGAAAATATGTATAACACTTTTTGAGATAATAAGTGACTTATCGAAGATTGATCACTATTACAATGATACCTATTGTAAGACTACAAAGTAAAAAAGCATATTTTAGAGGTTCTTATGTCTTATTGGAAAATTAAAAAAAAAAAAAACCGCTGGTAATGGGGACGGATGTGCAGCTGTTATTAGTGGGAAGTTGGAAAAATATTATACATAATACAAATTAAAGTTCTTTAATGTATATTTGTAATCTACCATAAACCATTGTTAACTAAAAACGATTCTGAGCAAAGTATGGTTACACATATTTTTAAAATTTAAAAATTTGATCCTAAAACGTTTATAAAAAAAATTGACAAAATAATTAGAAAATTGCATTATGTCTAGAAAAATATTATATAAGTACTTTGTGAAGCTCTGTACAATATTTTTTATCCAATTTATAACAAACAACATATTCCGAAATCGAAAATAACGAAATTATTAAATATTTTCGTATTCTCAAAAGAAACAAAAAATTAATCTTGTTATATAATGATTTAAGCTCGATTTACGGTGGCAAACTTATTTACAGACACAAGCAAATAAAGACGGACATACTTCGCACGTGGGTGTAGCCACTGTCTAAGGTGGGCAGTTGGAAAGGTAGGATACAGAAGATAATTTAATGTATATCTATAAGCGACGATAAACCAATGCTAATGAAAAAAACGATTCTAAGCGAAGTTCGGTTGAATGTGTTGCTTTTTCAATAATATGTACGTCATATTTCGGTAAAATAATTAAATAGACAATATATATTTTCTTTAATAATATTTGTTTAATATTGTAACCATTTCCTGTTTTTTCCTACTGTTTCACGGTTTTACTTTGTTTTTTCCCAGTTTTTCCGATTTATTGGGAAAACTCCTGAGAAAATCAAAAAATGACCCCTTTAAAGTATTTCCCCAGTAAGATTTCCTTTTAGAAAAATCGCTATCATTATAAATCGCAGTAAATTAGCTGGTATTATATCGTTATGTATATAGTTTATATTTTTAGACTCTAAGTGGAGTGAAGAAGCTTATGTTTGTACAAAGAAATTTATTATTTTTTTTTTTTTTTTTTTTGTATCTGTGCGTAACTTTTCTACCAGAAGACTTACTCCGACGTTTAAGTGTAGCACCTTTTCTTAAAGTACCCCCCTCTGTAAAGAGGTACATAGGGGAGGTGATTTTTCAATTTTCTCAGGTGTTTTTTCATCAAATTTAAAAAACCAAAAAAAAAAAAACGGAGGAAAAATGGGAAAATATAAGGATCGTAGGAATTAGTTAAAATGTATTACGGGCTACGACCTTCTTTTTTTCTGTAAACAACTTTTCTACCAGCAATTTTGCTCCAATTTTAATTTTAGAAATTTTTCTGAAAAAAAATTTGACCGGGAAGGTATACTTTATCATTTTTCAATTTTCTCAAGAGTTTTTCCAGCAAATGTGAAAAACCGGGAAAAAAATAGGAAAACTGAGAAAACTAGAAAAATCGATACAACATTAAACAAATATTATTAAAGAAAATATATAAAGCCTATTTAATTATTTTACTATAAAATAACATATATATTGTTGATAAATCATCACTATCAACTGTACTCCACTCAGAATCGTTTTTTCGTAAGCAATGGTTTATCGTATGCATTAAATTATCTATAACAGTGTCTGCATTCATCTCCATTTTCCTAGGACGACTTTTTTCAACTAATACAAAACATTTCGTATTTTTTCCTGTTATTAACATTTATTGGGAAAACTCTTGGAAAAATCAAAAAATGACCTCTCCATTCCAATTTCCTTTCCGAAAAAGTTCTACACTCAAAAATCAGAGTAAGATTTCCGGTAAAAAAATATCCAAAGAAAATAAAAACATCTTTCTAAATCCATAAGCTTCTTCGCTCAATTCAAAATCTAAAACATACACCATAATAAAATTAATAAATTCTTCGGTACGGTCAAAATCGAAAATCTCATCTACCAAACCAATAGTAAATTTGTATGTTCCGATAAGCTACGAATTTGATCAATTTATTAAAATTTAAAACCCCAACTGAAATGACCCAAATGTGTATAAAGATATTTTAATCGCGATAAAACTACAAAGTATTACTTTAACTCAGCAATAACTAATGCTCTAATATTACGATATAATTTCACATTTAATATTTAATTTGAGTTCAATTAATTACACGTGAAATCTCCAAACTAACCTTTTTCTCTTTTTTCTGCGCCAAGATTCTTCGTTTCTGTATCTCTTCTTGTTCATCCACATTGTCATGATCCGTATCCATAATAATTTTTGCGGTAAAATTAACAAAAAAATGTTTAAACAAAAATTATGAAAAATACTATTTTATTATATTGATTAACGACCGTGCAGTAAATACTTAACAGGCGAATGTTCGGCCATCGAGTAAAGATTAATAAAAAAAAAACCGAGGTAGGTAGGTACCTCGCCCGTAATAATATTTTATGGGATTTAGTTAAGGGTGCACGACCCTTATGTAATATGTAGTTGAAGCCATTACAAGTAATCCGGTTAATTCAATCATTGCGGCTGCTAAGAACGTGCCAAACGAATAGGTACGTCACGAAACCCTGGGTAAAAAATTGTTATGCCGTGTTATACACGAATATAATATATTATATTATATTATATTATATCGATTTAAATTTTGTCCTTCAAATCCCACAGGGTTGACGGGTCACCGCATTAAGATAATGTTTCCACCCACCTCCATTATTATTTCATGTATATGATTTCGCAAATTACCTATATGGTCAGTATCCTTGCTATTTCTACTCATTTTTATTTTATTCTTATACGGTTTAATTTTGTAATTTGATATCCCCAGTAGCGCATGCACGATTTTTTCGAGAGGGGTTTTGTTTATAATAATTTTCTAGAGAAGAGATAGCACAAATTATACGTACCTACAGTACTATCACTATTATTACTGAAAAAAATGATTTTTGATGAAATTAAATTTTATTTTGCTCTGTGGTATAAGATATTATGTTTTTAAAAAACTTGATTTAAAAAAATGTATTGAACGAGAACATTTCAAAGGGCGTTTTGATCCCCTAATCCCCTCTTTGAGCCACTGATTATCCCATTCACCTATATTAATTTATTTAATGGATGATATTAATTATGACAAAAACATAGATAGCATAGGGTGGATATAAAACGCAAAAATGCAATTCTAAAATATTAATACTTAAAATTTTCAATCCATAATGTTCTTAGAACTTTGAGATTCAAACTATGTATTGAAAAACGTATATGATATGTATATTATTGTTTAATTTTGAATATTTGTCAATAACTTTAAACAAATTAAATCAAATATTATTAGAGAAATGTTCCTAACATAGCCATATTGACTCTACACTCTGGTATTTTTAGGTGATATTAATTAATAAAATATGTTTAGTTTCGAAATCAATACACATTTAAAAGTTGACTGCTATAATTGATATTAAAATATAATTGTATATAATTGAATATATTATAATAACGTACGAGAATATCCACGGGTTATTTAAGTAGGTATACCTATACACGTAATTTGGAATGTTTTCTCCGGTATCAGTTTCCCTAAAGAATAAAATATAGGTATACAGTATTCATAATATTATGTAGGCTTCTTATATTATATTATACGAGTCCTTAAGTTCAATTTTTCTAAAAAATTTCGAATATTTTAATAATTTGTATTGATAAAGAAAGACTGTGATAGATTGGATATCATGCACGCAAAAACCAAAACCCTGATTACAATGAGACAAGTTGTAAACACCGCGGTGTGAAAGATGTAGTAAAAATGTATAGAGAAGCTATTGGAGGTGATGGGCCAAATTTTACTATTTTGGCGATGGACATAGAGATAAGCTAAAGGATTATTGGTTGTAAGACGGGGTATAACACGTTCGTAGAATCTCGATCAACTTCAATAATAATTATATGTTTATTATCTCTGCAATATATATGCATTAAGCATTTTACTATAAAAATCGAAGTACTAATCGGACTAATGGTAATAGATTTTTTTTTTCCGACAAAGTCTTCGCCCGTATAAATATTGTACAGTTATTACAGTTATGTATTTTCAATATGGTACAAATATAATTTTTATGATGGTAAAAAATAATTTTCCTATCGAGTTTCTAAATTCATAGTTTAAAATTAACTATAAGTACAATGAAAAAAGAATATCAATAAAATGATTTATTAAAAATAGGCACGAAAGTACAAAAATTAAATAGTTCCTTGTTCTTTTTTCTTTTGAAAAAAATGTACATAAAAATATCACAATAACTTTTTTTAAAAAAAAATATTAAATTAAAATAACGATCAAAAAGATAAAAGTAACAGATTCGTTTCTGCATTCCGTTTTTAAGCCAAAAGAAAAAAACACTTATTATTTTTTATTCAATTTTTTTATTCAATAAAATACATGAGTGAGTTATTTTATTTTGTACGTTCATAAATAATTTACGAGTAATAAGTTAATTAAAAGTTGTTTATAGTCTTTACAATAATGTCGATTCCTTCGCGGAGTTGAGTTTCAGTAATTATCAATGCTGGTGAGAATCTCAATGCACTGCTACCAATAGGTTTGGATACCAGTCCGTTGGATTTCATATCACCACACAATTTGTAAACGTCCGTTACGGTTTCTAAAAACGTAAAAGAAATACAATATTATTACAATTACGTGTCTTGTATATATTTTTACACACGGCAATTGTTTGAAGTTCAAAATGCATCGGGTCAAAATTATTGTGCCAATTTATATATAAATAGTGATTAATGAAAACATGTATCGAAAATATTGACTTATAATCTTCTTCCTGTTACTTATTTCACTTTCCAGCAGTTCCTTGGATCAAATGCGCTCAAAATCGGGAATTGTGTTTGCTTAACCGACTTATAGTGATAAAAGCGCCCCCAATGAAGTTAGAGGAATGAAATGTTAAATATATTGTATTGTTTTAGTGGTAAGTTAAACTACCCTTCGAGATGTATCGAATATAATATGAAAAAAAACATACTTGGGTTCAGTACGATCGCGTTCAAGAGTCCTCTTCCGCGGACCTGTACGACCTTTTCTTTGTCGAGACGAGCGGTCAGTTCGTTTCTGAAAATCTCGCCCATCTTGTAAGCATTGTCGATTAAACCATCGTTGATGATCACGTCCAATGCGGCCAACGCGATTTTGCACGCCAATGCGTTTCCACCGTAAGTGGATCCGTGTGTACCGGGTGTGAGCACGTCCATCACTTCTCGGTTACCCAATACAGCGGAAATCTATTGCGAAAATGGAGAATTTGTATTCATATACCTAATGTATAACCGTCATTTGATCATATTTTTGTTTTCCGTAACGTAACGGTTTACGGTATAATAATTAATAATTACTGACCGGATAAACTCCGCCGGAGAGAGCTTTGCCGAGGATCAACAAGTCGGGTTTTACGTCTTCGTAGTCGACCGCCAACATTTTTCCGGTCCTACCTAAACCGGCTTGGACCTCGTCGTCGACCCAAAGGACGTTGTATTTGGTACACAGTTCACGCACTCCTTTCAAGTATCCCATGGTGGGCACTACGGCTCCTGCTTCACCTTGTACCGGCTCTACCATGAAGGCGCACACATTGGGATTCCTCAAAGCTTGCTATATATAATAACGCAAAATACGACTTTTAATAACTACTAAATTCTTTAGGAACACATTTTAAGATCATCCGTACACATTTTAGAATAATTTTTATTGTATGAGTATTAAAAAAATACAGAAATCAACGCAAAACGAATTGCGTGATTGGTACCTAAATCAACAATAGTTAATAGTGAATTTCTAATTTGATTCATCAAAACATTCGCTTTTTAAAATTTTAAATCAATTGGGTTATCTTCAAAATCAATATTGTGATAGAATGATTTTGTTTCGAACTTACTTCAAGTTTTCCTAAATCGTCGTAAGGCACAATTTGGTATCCGGGAACATGAGGTCCGAATTCGTTGAACGAGTTAGGGTCCGTGGACGCAGAAATGGCTGCAATTGTACGTCCCCAGAAGTTACCATGGGCAAACACAACTTGAGCTTGATTTTCCGGGATCTTTTTCACTCTATATCCCCATTTTCTTGCAATCTTAATACTGGTTTCTCCTCCTTCCACGCCTACAAAAATTAATATATCAAAAATACTGGCATATTTTTTAAGACCGTTATATTAAAAATTTCAAACTTGAAAATTGTTAATTTTATATTATAAATTATAAAAATATAGTAACAGACATATTAGGTACCAATTAGGTATATTAATTTTCTTACCGGTATTCATGTTCAAAACTTTGTCAAAACCAAATTGTTTAGTCAGAAACTCATTGAGTTCGTACAGAGAGTCGTGAAATATGGCTCTCGATGTATGATGAAGAATTTGTACTTGATCTAACATAGCTTTGAGAATTTTCGGATGACAGTGACCTTGATTCAATGTGGCGAATCCACCCAAAAAGTCGTAATACTTCTTACCCTCAACATCCCACATAAAAACACCTGAGCACGTACAAGTCAATATTAATTATTGCATTTTCAATGTACACATATGTCTTTTAATTAGGTTTATCTTTTTTGTAGTATGTATATATTCAATTTTATGTTAAAATATTATTATGTACCTTCTCCTCTAGATATGACCACGGAAAGGGGATCATAATTATTTGCGGACACTTTTCTTTCTCGTTCGATCACTTCGGCCGACGATGTAGCTTTGACGGTCGAGTTTAACCGTGAGACACTGACATTGTTGAAAAGTCTTGTGTACTTGAATAACTGAGAACTACGATTTTGCAAAATTGACATTTTTGTGTGATATCAAAGATCATATCTGAAAATAATACAAGTGTACCAGTATAGATAAATGTATACATGATCACGTCTATTGGTTTAATAATGTACGTTGAGCTGAATGAACATAAATATCAAAATAAAATTAATTAATGTACCAAAAAATAATTGTATTACATTTTATGTTAACTAAAAATATTAACGGTTTGTCGATTTACATAGGTATAGCTGAGACTATTATTTTTCATTCTAAAATAGTATACAAATGTATGTACTCAAATATTATATGATCGGGGTTCAAAATCTAGAAAATCGTTATTCAGGATTGTCTTTTACGAGCACGCCGTCGCCATAATAATTTATTGAATTGACATTTCTGCTAAAAATCATCTGTCAAATAAAATGACTAATCATTGCTTTTGAGTTGGAAAAACATAAAAAAAAATTATGTATACAATAATAATAGGTATAGTAGGTATACAAACACTATATAGGTATATTACACCATAAAATGAGAAAATAACTCGCGATCTGGTTCACGTATACACTTCAATCGGGATTTAAATTTATTTCAGCGAGTTTGCGGACGATAAAATAGTACCTATAATATGGAATGATTAAAAAAAAAAAAACCAAAAAACGATCATAGTAGGTAAGAAAATATTATTAGAAACCACAAAAATAATCGTTTGGGAAAGAAAAACAAGAATTTCTATAAGAGTTAAAACTTTAATAACTTAAATATCGTTCACGTAATGTTGTCGTCTCTACCATACATACCTATAAAAGATGATTCTCTAAACGTCTTCACCCCATTTTTTTGTTAAATTTTACATACATTCAAATTCTAAATTTTCGGAATTTTTTAGTATACTTAGTTAAATTCAATAATTTCGATTACTTAGATTTTTCACAACATTTAAGGAGTGTACTGTGGCGATACCAACTTTGTTTTTTCAAATGAGAACCTACATTAAAATTTCCATAAATAGACGCAGTATTACTTAAAATAAATGTTGGTGCTAAAATATTTGATTTACGTTAACCCGTTGACGAGATATTTCACTTTTAAGTTTAGGTGAGGGGACAGTAGTGAACCATTAATGAAACGTCACGTGTCATGCCGCCACACAAATAAAATTCCACTACTCTCCCCCTGCCTATACTTAAAAGTGAAATATCTCGTTAACGAGATGACAGAAATCAAAAATGTTGACACCAACATTTATTTAAAGTAATATTTCGTCTATTTATAGAATTTTTAATATAGGTTCTCATTAAAATAACCAAAGTTGGTATCGCCACAGGTTACTCCTTTGAAAAATCTAAGTATTCAAAAATATAGACTTTCACTAAACTTGAAAACTCCAAAAATAAGAATTTGAACACATGCAAAATTTAACCAAAAAAATGGGATATGCACGCTTAGTGGATCACCCTGTATATAATTGAACTCACAATTGTTATAAAGAAGTGTACGACTCTACGATGGTGATGTTCGACTTGGGACTGTTACGATGCAACTGAACAGCACTTATATTACTGCAATCTTGAATAGTACCTCATTAATATATAAATTTATATATATACGTGATATACCAAATTCGGTTGGTACCGATACCGTTTAACGACAAATTAATTCTCCTGACGTAACGATTTAATTCTTTTCGGTGGCCTTTTGATAAGACTATAGATATTTAATCTGTTCTCATCGCAATTATATTATATTGGGAGTATGATATAGCACACGTCCGTACGACGCGATGTTTTGATAAAAATAATTAGTAATTGTGTTCTATTTTAATGGTAACGCCTTTAGTACAATATACAGATACCGGTTTTATTCAAAAACAATACGAAACGCTTTATATATCACGTATACAATATAATTTTATTAATATTATACATAATTATTGGGTGGCACGTCCCGTTCAGGTGTTTGTGTTTCATAATAATAAATATATCGCAACAATAATATTACGTGTACATATTTTCAAGTAATAAGACTACAATATTGCAACACCCGCTATGAGCTAAATTTGTACTGGGGGTACAGTTTGTATCAAAATTAATGTGCGATCGAGAAAAACAATAATCGTATGATTAAAATTAAATTATTAAATAGTGTTAGGAATATAAGGAGAAAGAAAACAAAATGTATAGTTATATGTCATTAACAATTCAAAAGCCCAAATCAAAAGCTATTGGGTATTAATGTTTTTTGTGTTTATCCTAATATATCGTTCTGAATAAAGACTCGGAAGTAAGGTATAAGTAGGTAATTTTGATGATACATACAATAAACTCTCGTAAAATGTTATCATTTTGTAATAAAGAAAAAAAAATATAGTCTTGATTTTTTTTTTATTGATATTTGACATGCCTACGTAAGTATTAAAAGCTTAATATGCAGTTGCGAGAGAAACAAACAAATGTTTTTTTTATCTTCTGGCGTTTAAACGAGTAGACATAATATACGTATTATAATTAATCGACGATTGCCGATATTACCTATACAGTACCTTTGAATTCCTATATAGTATATATAGTATTGGTTATATAATACACGAGTTGGGTAATTCTCAATGAAATGGGCACTGTTAATGGATTATATTATCCACCACCATAGAGTACCGCGAGCTCGACCCATGGTAAGATCTATTTGTGAAATATCAAATAAACACCTAGTTAATGGACTATGTAGAATAAAATATAAAAAATATACCTACATATTATATTAATATCTATACATATGATAGATCTATGGTTTTCAATTTTGGAGTTGTAACCCCCAGAGAGGTCACTATTGATAGTTTGGGGGTGGTTACCAAAAACCATAAATATCATGTATACTATGTAGTGTGTGTAGCAGTAGTGAAGTTCTATTAAATAATTTTTAGAGTGATCGCCTTGCAAAAAAAAAAAAAAATTAGGGTTTCGTAAGAGGTTGAAAACTACTGGGATAAATGAAGAGTTCATAGATCGTGACTTACGTCCAGTTCCCGGAGGCTTACCACTCGGTAACTACTAAAGGCATACATCGACCAATGTAAAATAATAACCATACGAATCACCCAATCTATTTGCAGATAGACCATGTTCCCTAGAAAATATACCGAATGATTCCCTTAAGTGGGTACACTCATTATCTCTGAAAGTATTTACTTTTTTTGGACTTTGTTGTAAGTTTGGGTTGGAGGAGATTAGTGGACTGTCATTTGTATGGCAATACGGCACTCGGCGTGTTATTAATCCACTACTTCTTTCCTCCAACCTAAAATTAAAAGTGGAGTATCTCATTAACGGCCAGACAGAAATAAAAAAATTAACACTCAAATTGATTTTAACTAGTTCTCCATCTATTTATGGACTTTTTAATATAGGTTGCCAATTGAAAATCAAAAATAGGTAGCGGTTTTATCCCCAAAAATAAAGGTGACAAAGAATAGTATAAATATAAAATTGTAGAGCAGCTTATTTCTTAAATACTCTAAAAAACAAATTCCGGAAAAAGTTTATACTTTACGAGATAATGAGTATACCCACTTAAATAAATCACCCGATATGTCCTATATTCCCTAGAAAAACATACTGCTAAAACATGTATCTCCAGACGATCTTAATCGCACGCAATAATGATAAATAATAATTTTTTTTTTTTCAAAATACGAGTGGGTGAGATAGGTAGGTAGTTATGTATCTGTTAAGCTGTTTAACAACAACACGCGTGGTTAATTATATTCTAATATAATTTTATTGTAGCCACTTGACGTGAAACACGTGACGTTTAGAACAAAATTGATCTAGTTATTTTCGTTTAGGTTACGACACCCGTGAAATGATATTAGATTCGAAGGTCGATAACTATACTTATAACAGTTATTACGCGATAAGTGCCTAATATATTAATTTGTAAATGAAACGATTTTTCAATTAGTATACTAATTAGTTAATTTCTTTAGACAAGAATAATATAAGCATTATTTTTATGTGCGTGGATATATTATGACTTTCATAGTCGTAGGTACGGTAATCAGGTTTGCGATTCATACAACATGAGTTTTACGTCTGTTTCGCTTGTAAAAAGTCCAATATTTGTGCATTACAATAATACAAACTATCCGAAAATGTTCGATTGAGTTTCATATTGTTTATCCGGGATTGAGTTTATAATAATTGTTAATATGCGTTTGATAGGTACAATAATTATAACTTGACAAATTACATGTCTAACAAATCTAAAATAGTCTAATCTGATTAATAAATATCCAACTACTAAAACTATCGATTTACTATTATTTTTAGGTATTATTTACGAACTATATTATCAGATTGACTGCTACGTATTTTGGTTATCTGAAAACATCCAACCGTAATAAGTGTTTGATTTTTAATTACTATTACCTACATTGGCTATAATTATTGTAAATGAACATTAAACGATCCAAAACATTTATTATAGACATTTATCGTCTCTGGTTTTCTAACGAACAATACAACAAAAAAATGTTCACGTAAATCAAACTAATAAGTCTTTGAAATTGATTTTATAGATAAAATACCTATTACACAATTTTCAGATGAAAATGATTCGAAAAGTTACAGTAGGTTAAAACAAAAACTTATACTGCAGATGAATATTATGCTAGTACTATTGTAGATAGGAAGCTGAGATGGTAGGATAAATAAAGTTATTTAGTTTACATCTATACACAATGGTAAATGATTGCTAACGAAGTATGATTCTAAGTGAAGTCGGAAATATATGTTTTGTAATGCCATAATATTTTACGATTTTTTACGAAATATTTTACGAAATTTGAATTGAAAATGCGTATAAAAAGAAAATTTACTATATACTCGACTTTTTTTTTGGGACACTAAATACGACTTAAATGAATCTCGTATTAAATTTTCAAATATTTCTGTTCGGCCAAAGCAATTTCATCCAAATACAAACTAAAAACACTCGAAAATGTTATAAAATAAAATGATAAATGCCTATAATTAACTTGGAAGTTGTAATACAACCAGACAGGTTAATATAAATATTTTGTGAACATTTCTAGCTCGTACAATATTATTTTTAACCAAATTACAATAAACGTAACTAGCTAAACTAATACATTCCTGATTGCTGCATTCAAAATCCAAAAAATTGAAAACGATAAAATAAAATAATAATGTTTTCCACGCTACATTTCTACCCCGAACAATTTTTTCATTCCCACTTAATTTTATAACAACCAGGTAACCAGGTAAATAGATAGGCAGGTACGTGATTTGTATGTAATATTTTTATACAGCATCGATAATATTATTAATATTGATATTAAATTGATATTGCATATAATTTTTGATTGATTATATTTGTATTTAAATACATTTTAAATACACATAAAATTACAATTGTAATTATCATTATTATTTGATACACGAATGGTATCACCAGTGATGGTGTAAATTATTATTTTTTCTTTTGTAAAAACAAAAATTGAATACGTCCAATTATTACACGCAATAGAAGTGTAGGAGTGATACGTAACTAACTATAAACACAATATAATATATTATTTGTATAGATTAACTTGGACGATAAAAACGAAAATTGGTATACTTAAATTATTAAAATATAAACGCGACAAATTAATTTATACAATTAATATAATTATAATTCATGATATACTCGTTGTTTAGTAATTATTTAAACGTTATCCGGATTGTCAAACATTCGCGTCAAAAGTTAAAATACAAACAACTATTATACAAGTATTATTACAGTTATAGTATACTGCAGTACTTATCTTAAGTTAACAGTATAAAATAATAATTATCTAAAAATTAAATTTAAGATTGTATTTATTGTCTACATTTAAATGTTTTCACATCATCAACTATGCGTATATTATATTTTTTTATAGTTTTATAATGGATTTTGATAATATTTTTTTGTTGTCATAAAATAATTATTGTTATCGAAACTTAGTACAATATTATGCGATTCTAATAATACGTGTTTGATTTTCTGACAACGATTTGGTTTAATTTTATATGGAATGATGACGACTCAAATCAGTTGAAAGCAGTTTGTAAAATGTTCAAATAAATGTATTTTAATTCTTTATTTGTATTTGAATACTATGTTGAAATATTGAATACTTTTCGGAAAAGATATTTAAATACGTATTATTCTGAATTGTTTTTTTTACTTTTTACTTAATGTAGTAACAAATGTAAAAAACTAGTTGAAAGTCACTCTTTACTTGTAGTTACTATAACAAGTAAAATACATTTTAAAAACAACTAAGTATATAGTTATTGAAACTAAACGTTAATACACTAAGTCAACTTTATTTTTCACCTCGATATTGTAGTAATTAAACACATTAAATACTAATTATATGATATTAAAAAAAAGTCAATAAGTACCTAATAATAAATAAATACTCTACTTACATATAAATTCGTAAAAACTTGGAATGTTACACGCAGCAATCAGCGCCGCGAACTTCGATTAATGCGATTACTTGGTTACAGTAATAACAGACGTAATGCAATAGATATCCTTAACGCGTTTTATAGAATTTATACCTTACGAAAAATGTGTACCAAATAGGAATTCTCGTAAATTTTTATCTAATCTCTGATTTATAAACAATAAGACGTGTGTAAGTGCAATGTATGGGTGTTATTTTTAACAAATCACCTCAGTGACCACGTGCGTAATGTGTGTCATCGTCGAAACATACCTATCGATATTAATGTTCTCGTATAATATACAGGGTGTCCATACCCTATATATAGCCTACTAGCCACGTTATTTGTCCCCGTCAATATGTTTAAGTTTGCAGTTCGTTATACTACATTTACCTTTGAATGTCATTGGTAGACATTTTTGTACGTAGGTAACAGTAGTGGATCCGAATTTTCGGTTTTAATATAATATATTAGGGTGATTTTTATTGGAATGATGATGGAATCTTTTCCTTTACTCCCTAATTTTAAAAAAATAATAATAAAAATGTTGAGCCCTATTTGAGATTCCTAAGACAATTCTTCCGTCCTCCTGTAACAGAATAAAATTTCCAATTTAAAATACATTGATTTTTCGTTTATTCTGAAAATTGTTTATATAAGGCATACAAAATTTTACAAACCTATCTATTTTAAATGGGAAACATTACCTCAAACTTTAATATGTATTAAATTACACGTATAACAAAAATAGATAGGATGTTGCAAAGATAAGATATATAAAGTTATTTGATTTTTATCTGTACAAAACGATGAATCATTGCCGATTAAAAACGATTCTGAGTGAAGTTCGCTTATACATATTTTAAAATGTCTTAATTTTTTCGATGTTCGTCATAATTTGAACATTATTAAAACATGACTAGCCTACATTTTTTTTTTTTTAGATTCTGAGTGTAGCAAAGAATATATTGGTTTTACTTTTTCTACCAGAATGTGTATTCCCGTGTGTTCGATGTAAATCTTTTTCTGAAAGGAAATTTTCTCGGGGTGGTAGTTTAAGGAGGTTATTTTTTTTCCCGGAAGTTTTCCCAATAAAAGGGAAAAGTGAGAAAAAACGGGAAAATGTATGAAAAATATTAATAAAATATGATTTTTTTTCTGTGGACAACTTTTCTACCAGCAATTTTGCTCAGAATTACAATGATAGAATTTTTTCTAAAAGGCAAATCTGGTATGTTTTAAAAATTGTGTTATGTCTAGAAAAAGCTAATATAAGTATTTTGTAAACAATTATGGGTACCTATACGACTACGCTTAACCGAATATTATATTAACGTTTATATTATATTTTCTTTATATTTTAATTTGTATTTTCGTTCCTTATATTTTGCCGTCTTTCCTACTTCTCCTCGGGTTTTTCGAATTATTAAAAAAACTACAACGAAAATCAATGAAATTGATTACGTCACGAATAACGTCATTAGATAGTACACCAACAAGATTCAATTTCCTTTCAAAAAGATGCTACAACTAAAAATTGGAGCAATATATCTGGTGGACAAGTTGTTTACAGGAAGAAAAATATTTATTTTTTTTTTTTTTCAAATGCACCATAGTAAAACTAACTAAACATTACTAACTCCACTCAAAATTTAAATTAATTTAATCAATATTAATATTGTTAAAAAATCAACCTCTCGTATGGGACATGACAATATGATTTGCCCACCACTGCCTTATATAGGCATACAATATTGCAAACGACTGTTGATTATAATATTATAGTTACAAAAGTCATTCAAATAACGGTGTTACATTAAGTGAAATTATAGTGTTCCGATAGTACAAAGTCGTCTTGCATTTTATTCCTACAATACTTCATACAAATAAATATTACTTTATTTACTTTACTTAACTTATTATTTATTACTAAAATATTATATAATATTATTATATTTTTAAAAAAAGTTATACATTTCAAATTCGACATAATAATTCAATCAAATTAAGAACGTTATTTGTTTGTTTTTTAAACATTTTAGGAAAGCTTAGTATCTATAATCAGTATTCACTGTATAAGGACTTAATATGGAGGGAGGGACAGTGTGTTAGCTAAATGAATATTATTATTATAGAATCGGAAATTGTTCATCGCTGTTATATTTTTTTTTATAGATTTTACTTATGGAAATTGTTTTCAAATTAATTTCATGTGATGGAGGCCTCTATGTAATTATAAAACAAAAAAACTCCATTGTTTGCCAAAATATCAGCGCCGGTTTTTTAAGTTGCAACTGTAAATCGAACTTCATAATATTCCTGGTCAATAAAGCCGCACAGGCACACAGGCATAGTTTCATTCAATGTATCCAGAAAAATACTTGTACTACATTGTATTAAGTACTCATTATTTATAATAGTAATGATCCCGCATTAATTAAACACGTGAAGGCCCACAGAAGATCTAAAGTATTGCGCTCATCTGTGTTCCGCATGTTAGATAATACAAATTAATAATTATACATAAAAAGACAGTATAAAATAATTTTAAAAACCACAATAATAAGATATTAAATTTTTAAAAATAATCATAATATAAAGGTATATAATAATACATAGATAAAAAATATATTACTTTTTTTATTAGTATACATATTCTATACCTATATTAATTTTCACCGAAAATGTTATCGTCATTGCATAATCCTTCTATATTAAATTATTAAAGTTGAATATTATAAAGAATAGCTATAGGAAATTATGTGAATTGCAAAATTTAACATGCATTATTTCAATATTGTCTTCTAAAATTGTTTTTTTTTTTTCTTAGTCAAGTTGAGTATTTATATATTTTGTTTTTTTTTTTTTTGTTTGTTTTTGAGTTTCGTGCACTCAGTTTTTGATTTTTATGAATACAATTTTTTTGGCTTGGTATAAAATCTCGAAAATTGTACTAGGTACAACTTTGGTTTATCGCGGATTGTAACTAGCTACACTATTATAACCTTACCATGTCACAATATTTAATTATTATATCGTTTGACCAAATCTAGATCCAGTGTTAACAAAAATTGAAGAAGAGGTGTGATTATAAATTTCCCGACTTCAAAATATTTTTTTTTTCCATTATGTTATACGACCTTCGCTAATTAATAAATTTTACAATAATAATATAATGGTAATCACGGAGTAAAATACTAAAAACATTGTTATTGGTTTTGCCGAATTTAAAAATTAAATAATCGTTGAGTTGTCAACTCAGAGGTCTAATTTTCCAAGTTTATAGGTATCCCCCCATGCACCCTCTATTTCTACCGCTACGTTTGATGTTCACATTTTTGATGAAATTCGTTAAAAACAGAACAATTTTTTCTCTTTCTCAAAGTAAATAGGTTTATATTGATCTCATGACTAAAATATTACTACTTCTTATTTTTTTTATCGAAATAATGTAAAAATATAATATAATTTTTGGATTACATTTTTACAATTTTTAAAAGTGTGTAGTATTTTAAATGTGATTGTTGTTATTACATTTTTTTCCGTATAATTGAATTGCATTGATAAAATCCAAAAAAAGGACAATTTCAACTATGTATTCAACTAAATAATGTCATTTTTTAGAACAAAAAATTGTTTAAAGCAATTTGACAACACATCCAATTCAGCTACATACATTTATTCACTATAACCGTATTTTCCATCGATATAAGTCACACTTAGTTTTCATTTGTACAAACTGTATATTTACACGAAACAATTAATTTTAGATTCTATGTGGAACGAAGGAGCTTATGGTTTTACAAAGATATTTTTTATTTATTTTTTGTGAACAACATTTCTACGAGAAATGTTACTCTGATTTACAATTGTAGAACTTTTTCTAAAAGGAAATTTGATTCGGGAGATAATTTAACGGTCTATTTAAACACAAAAGTGATGTGATAGTGCCGTGAACGTTTCGGGATTCCACCGGCCGTGATCTCTATTTACACTGATCAGTGTTTTATCCGACGTTGTGTGCATTATAGCTAAAACTGGGAAAAGTCAATACCCAGCTAAAAATCACGGCGGTAAAATTAGAAAAATATCATCCGGAAGAAATCTGACTATCAAGGCACAGTGACGGCGACGCACTGCTTGCAACGGTACAGTCACGCGTGGACGAGTGAGAACAAGCTTATCTTTCCTTTAAGAAGCAAATTAACTTATTAACAAGCTTAAAGGTAAGAAGATTATATGCGCACTAGCGTTGATATGTTTTCGATATTTTAATTTTAAGGCAAGATATAATCATTTTTATATTGTGATATTTAACATACCTACACATATCTCATTTAAAAATGAAAATATCGAAAAATCACCAACGTCAGAACACATATAATCGTCTTAACTTTAATTTTGATAATAGGTCAATTCGTTTTAATATTAAAACTAACGGCACAAAATGTGTCCTAGTGAACGCGAATTTGCTGTGTGTCTCGTTTGTAAGACGGAGACAATAGATGAATATTATTAAGCTCGCCGGTGAAAAACGGCCACGCCACTGTAACGTCACTGCTGTGTGTAAATAAATCTTAAGGTAGGTACACACGTAGAGGAAATCCTCAAGTCCAAATCCTCAAGGCCCGGCCTCAAGGAAAGGCATCGCCACCACACACTAACCACACGCCCGGTAATTACTCGAGGATTTTGTAATTTTCATTAATTTACATTTTCATACTACCTACGCGTGTACTTAATCGCGTACCTACTGTAATTTTTCGTGGACGCATTATTAAGTACTCTCGTTTAAATAATATAACATATCTGTTTCTTATAACGTATATCATAAATAAAACTGTAGAAGTTAGATGACGATATTATGGCAGCTATTGGTTGCTTAATGGCTGTCAGTTGTTTGAAAACTCGCGTGAAGAAACGTAAGAGAAAGATATGGGTGAAGGATTGGTTATCAAAAAGGGCAAAATATTTACATGTGAACCTGCTAACTGAACTCAGGATTTGCCCTAAAGACTGGCAAAATTATTTAAGAATAGACGAGGATACATATTTAAAATTACTAGCATTGATCACTCCTTTCATAAAAAAAAATGATACGGTAATGAGACAAGCCATTTCACCCCATGAAAGGCTCACGACGATTCTAAGATTTTTGGCGACAGGAAGAAGCTACGCAGATCTGAAGTTTTCTAGGCTCGCTTTCAAACAATTTAATGAATTCATCAATAAATTCACGGCTCATTTTAAATGGCTAGGTACACACGAGTCACGAAGAGGAAATGATAAACTTTAAATATTTATAAACGTTTGGTTGCGGTTAAAACAAAATTAAAATAATAGTGATATCGCATGAATCCTCAAGGCAGACCTCACAGTGCCTCCACACGTGCAAATTTGAACTGTACAGTCTGGCTTGCACAGTTTTTCCTTATTGAAATTCGAAGAGGATTTTCGGACTGCGCAGGCTAACATAGGCCTCAAGGCCGATCCTACACACGTGAAGGAAATCCTCAAGGACTAGACTGCGCAGTCCAAACCTTGAGGATTTCCTTTACGTGTGTACTTACCTTTACAAAGGTTATTTTTCGATTTTCTCAAGGGTTTTTCCAACTAATGGGAAAAATCGGAAAAAACATTGGAAAACCGAAAAAAATTAGAAAATAGGTACAATATTAAACAAATATTATTAAGAAAATATATAATGCCTATGTAATTATTTTACCGTAATATGACATACATACATTTTTGACAAAGCAAAACAATCAACTGAATTCTGCTTAGAATCGTTTTTCGTTAACAATGGTTTATCGTTGCTTACTAATATACATTAAATTCCCCTCTACTACTTTCCTAACTTTTCACCTGTAACTGGCTTACCCACGTGTGAAGTTGTCAGGCTATTTATTTTTAATTTGTTGATAAAACTAAATATATTAATATGTGTTGCATTAATATTTATCATAGTATTTTGAGTTGATTTCTTAATGTTTTTATTTTATTAACAATACGTACCTATATGTATATGATAATTAGTATTATTTTTTAAAGTATATTGAACGATAAAAGCTATAAATAAACATAAAAAAAATAGGTAAAAACAAGTATGATAGTACGTAATATAGTTAAAAAAAATATGTTTCTAAAACTATTTTTTTAAATGATTGGTATTTGATAAGGGATGTGGGGGCGAATCCCCGAGGGTATATTTGATGAAATTTAGGCGGTAATAGTTCTAGTTAAATATTTATAATTGCTTTATATGTAGTTTAAAATGGTTCGCGCCTCAACTGAACGAAACTGTTTAAAAGTTATAACGGTACATAATATTATAATAATTGTAACGGCTTAAACCGATCATTAATTGTTAAATTTTAAACAACTTAATTATTATAAATCGTGTTTGTAAGTAGAACGAATAATTATTATATATTGTGAAAAGTAGTCTTCTGCCAAGTTTGTAGATAAGCAATTATAGTATTATAGCCGTAGGGTCACTATTCGGGCCAAGTATTTTATCACGTATTATATTAAATTAAAGAACAAAAATCATCGTTATCATATCGCGTTCTAAAACAATATAAAAATGTACGGTTATGCAATTGGTATATATGATAATTTTTGAATGATGAGCTGGGAAGTAAGACGCATAATACATATATAATAATAAATATAATATAATATATTATGATGATGATGTCGATGATTAACTGTAATAGTGCGGACTTGTCCTATGGTATCAACTTTCGAGACGAGGAATTCGTACCTATTCCGCACAACTTATAACACCCTATAGTACGAAAACCCGCTTTGCGACGTTCACAAACGGAACGTGACATTGATAACCGTGTCGTGTTACAAGTGTTCGGAATCGTCTAAAACGTAAAAATTGACCAATAAAAAAATGTCTGCACGTCGATTAATATTGTCATCGCAATATTGCTACGAATTACATAAACAAAAAAATTAAAAGATCATTTTACGTAAACCGCCAAAAAATTCGAAAATAACACGAGTTTCCAATTCGTTTTTAATATCGTTATTATACTGTTTACCAACCAAAAAAGTAGTTAGGTGGTATTTATTTTAACGAGAGAGCTGAGTGATGTGTTTTTTCGCTCCGCACCCATTCCAAAATATAGTTAAAATCACACCGAGTTAACGCGTGAATGGTAAAACACTACAATATACGAGTACCTACGTGCGAAAGTTTTTTACCGCTTTTATCTCTCGCCCTCTCGGTAGGTGATATGTATAATTATATACATTGGCACCGTAATCTGACCTCCGATGAGACCAATTCGATGAGACTATGACCAACGACCATATAACACATTCTACTTTATAATCGATTATAATATTATAATATACAGAGTGTCCCACGAAGATACACGCGGCAAAATTTCCTGAGATAATAAAGATAATCAAATTTTGTTTTTTATATTATTCGCAAGGATATGGACTGCAAATATTTATATTTGAATTAAGTTTTGATATTTTGATAAAAAAAAAAAAAAAAAACTAAAAATGCATTTTTGTTTAGTTTGACAATTGTATTCTCAAATAAAAATTACGTGAAAAATTGCAAAAATAAAATATATATAAATAGTTAAAAAATGACTCAAATGTTTTAAAAATTTTACCACGTCTAGAAAAAACAAATATAAATTTTTGTAAATATTTCAAATCTGTATGAATATTTTTAACTAAATTACATTAAAAACCAAAATTTAAAATTATTTTGGTAAATTTTCCCGTTTTTCCTATGTTTTTTCTCGGTTTTCCCCAATTAAAATGGAAACTGCTTGGAAAATCAAAAAAAAAAAATAAAACCTCATATTCGGTTTTCTTTTTCCCTTTTATTCATCCACATTCATTCGTAAACTATTCTGACAGCCTCGACTCATATCTTTTCATTTTATTTATTTTTCTGTATGGGAACACCTTTTCTACCAGAAATCTTGATCTGATCGTAGAAAACGAATACATTACGTAATTACGCACAACTTTTTTCTTCGCCACTAAGTACAACTTAAGATTAACATCACGTTAAATTGTCAAGCATTTATATTTGGCCAAATTATTGTATCCGCATTATATAGTACTTACCAAAGAAAAACTACGTTGAATTACAAAAAATAATAATAATAAAATTAAAAATAATTGAAACCATTCTGTGAACTTTCTCGTTCTTTCTACTTATTTTTCAGTTTTGCTCAATTATTAAAAAAACTACAAAGAAAATCAAAAACTTACATTCTTGGTCACCAACTAGATTAAAAATTCAATAAAAAAATGTCAATTGTCGTTTTTCTATTGGACAAATATTTTTTTTGTAAAAAACATAAGTCGTACAAATTTAAAATAAAAGAATCTTTGTGCCGTAATTATTAAAAAAAGAAAACACGTGTGTTTCGTCTGTTTTGGTTTTTCCGAATTATTATGAAAAATACTTTGGATATCGACTTACTTAACGACTAGTAAGTCGTTAAGTAAGTTTAGTACTGTCTATCAGTGGCTATATATAAAAAAAAAAAACAAAATCAATATTTTATCATTTTTCGATTGGAGTAATATATCTGGTAGAAAACATAAATTGCAAAAATTAAATTAATGAAATCGATAAGGTCATGGAGTGCTGTAAATATTTGCCGTTTTACCTTAAATTTTCTTTGGGGTTTTTCCCAATTACTTTAAAGACCTTTTAAAAATCAAAAAATGACCACTTTAATGCACCAACTAAACAAAATTTCCTTTTAGAACAAATACTATACTTTATACATTGGTTTCAGATTTCTTTCCGAAAAGTTATTCATTGACAGAAAAAATAGTATAACCATAATAATACCAATAGATTCCTCTCGCAATTCCTTTCGCAACTCTCAGAATGTAATATCCATGAAAGAATCCGAAACCGGTAATAATAAATAGTATTATTTTGAGCTGTATTTTCAATCCAGCATTGCTGGTCAGTATTCCACATTATAAAACTATTTTGGAATCAAGCCAATATTCTAATACGTTTCCCTCTGATTCGTTTTCTATTTCAATAATTTTAGTAACCAATATTTATTATACTTTATGTTTAATTTAATCAGTTTCTCTAAATGAATAGAAGGGGTCTGTATAGGCAAATTATATGCATATTTTATATTCATAGAGGTAGACCATTTAATAAACATCTTTTGATTTTTTATTCAAAATTTAGGAAACAAATAATTTTACTTTTATAATATTGTAGACTTAAAATATTAAATAAATCATATATACAAGTATTATTATTATATATATATAGAACATATAATATATATATTATTATTATTGTACTTATTATTATTGTTATTATTATTATATTATTTTATAATATTTAAACATACAGTATTAAAGGTGTTTTGTATAGGCAATTTTAAATCAATTCTTTATTTCTACGATTCTCTCGTAAACCATTAAATATATAAAAGTTCTATAGGTACTCAAGTAAAAATTGCTAAAAAAAAGCCACAATTTCCAATGGTCTTTCATCTAAAAATTGAATTTTGACTTTAAGTTTCTTACGATTTTGAAAATATAACAGAAAATCTTTCAATATTGGTCCTTAATTATATCTAAATGAATCTTAAAGAAAGCTTCATAGAGTAGGCGATGGAGTAGAGCGGCG